TGTCGAAGTTCATCCACTCGCCGTGCGTCTCGTCAGACCAGACGGTCTCGATCAGCTTCGCCCTCGATTCCTGGGCTGGTTTTACGGTGCAGATAACCATCCTCGTTACTCGTCCTCATGCTCCTCCTTTATACTCATACGCACATAGGCCCTTCAATACATGTGTGTACAAGCATACATAGGAGTATGGTATATTGATCTGCCCGTGCATGTGTGGTTTCACATGCACGCACACACATATATACATATGTACACATATGTTTATACATATGTGCCCGCATCCAATCGATCCCCCGTCCCTCTGTATCTATATATACACATATAGATATATACGTGTTCGAAATCTGTAGAATTCACCCCGCTATGTTCCCATAGAGTACCCCCTCCCCTCACACAGGTATCGACCCACTTTATATATCCCAAAGGCTCCTCGATATCCTTGAACTTCTTCTGCAACCACTCCTGGCGATGCTTGCGCTTGTCATCGAGCGCCTTCGCGTCGTAGGCCTCCTTCTCTTGCTTGTGCGCGCAGAGGTACAAGTAGAACCTCCTCCCCAATGCACTCTGCATGGGCACGTTGTGGAAGTTGGTCTTCGCGGCCTCGTCCATGTAGGGGTCGTCGAGCTCCTTCAGCTTAGTCAGCGTGACTTCGTCCAAGCCGTCGAGCACGTCGCCGCCGTCCTTGCTGCCGCACTGCACGAAGAACTCCATCAGCTGCTTCTCGAAGCCTGGCTCACTCGGCTCAGCCTCGGGCTTTCGCGCACCGATCGGCGCGGGTTTGACGGGCCCTGGCCGCCCGAAAAGGCTTGAGACAATCACGAAACTATTGATCCACAGCCTGAGAAAAAGCCACCGACACTTAAAGAAAACTGGCCCATGCTGTAACCCCATACTACTCTACCACTACCAAATCCCGAACGGTGCGATCGAGGGCACGGTTGTAGGATGAAGGAGCTCGGAAGGGAGTCAGGGAATTCGAAGACGAGCATGAGGAGGAACAATGAGCGGACTATGAGGAGTCGGATGGGGGGGGGCCAAAGGCGGTTGAGGGTTCTCGGGGCGCCGCTAAGCGATGCGCTCCCACAGTCACAGCGTTCAACTCCTTGCGCTGGCTAGAGAGCTCCTCTCCGAGCATCTGCTCCAGCGACTGGGGCTCTGCTTGGTGATCGCCATCTGCTGGATGATGCTGCGACAGTTGCAAGCCCTCCTGAGCAGGCGGGGCGCGAGCAAAGAAAAGAGCCAGACCCATGGGAGATAATTGAATGCACGGGGGAGGGAGGGAGGGCTAAGGTGGGAGGGATCATGAAGGGGAGAATCGAGGGGTGAGTCGGAGAAGTCACAGGCTTGGGAACGCCTCTGGTGCGCGGGCGGGGTGGGAGTTGTAATTAGGGCGAGGTCGGTGACGAGGGTGCACGTGTGAGAGTATGAGGGCTCCACTCTTTGCAATTTGCGGGCCAGAGTACTCTTCTTCCTGCAATTACAACTACACGTACTAGTACGATTATTGTTATTGTTATATTGTTCTTATTGCTACTACTACTACTACTACTACTACTACTACTACTACTACTACTACTGCTACTACTACTACTACTGCTACTGCTACTACTACTGCTACTACTACTACTACTACTACTACTACTACTACTACTACTGCTACTACTACCACTCCGCTTACCGCAACAACTACGACTACAATTACTACTCCTTCTCTTCCTGCTACCCGCTTATGTGGCACCTTCAATCCCCCCTTCTCCATGCACGGGCCCCGTCCTCCCTCCTTCTCGTGTTTTACCTGACACGTTGAGTTTTTCTCCCCGCCCCTACACATCCCCCTTGGTTGGCTCGATGTTTTTTTCCTGTGGCACGCCCTAGTCTGAATCACTACCGATGGGCGGCGGTGGGATCGGCACGTGCGTGCTAGAAGCTGCACTGCCGCGCTTGGTCGGTGTCCTTGGCGGCGTCGCCACCTTGGGCGATTTAGGCGTGGGCTCTGCGTCGGGCGTCGCCCCAGCTGGGCGCCGCTTCAAGCTAGAGGCAGGGGGGTCGGACTGTGCAGGCGCAGCCGCCGCGGGCCGCCTCATCTTCGCCACCCACGGCGCGTCCGCCTTGACTTGGAGCAGGTCTTTCTTGAGATTCCCCATCTTGACCTTGTCGATCTCCCCAGCGCAGAACCGCTTCGCTAGATCCGTGCACCAGTCCACTGCCTGGTCCTCCATCTGCGACTCCTCCTGGCAGTCGGCGGCCTCGAACACTTTGACGTTCACCTGCACCAACTGGGGCGTTATCCCACCGTCCCACTTTACCAGGCACAGGCGGTCGACTGGCTTACCCCTCGGCTTGTCGGTCCTCAGATCGACCCATACATTATTGCCTGACGTGTCTTGGCCCGTGAACATCTCTCGTTTGGTGTTGCCACTCTTAGCCTTGGCCTTGGCCTTGGGCTTGGTAGCAGCATCATCAGCTCGAGGTGCACTGCCACTGCCACCTGCGCCTCCAGCTGGCTGCGCGTTGCGCCAACTGGCAACCGTTATCTGCGGTATAGGTCGTACCGTGCCATCTTTAAAGACGGCGTTCATCGGATCTGTCAGCTTGGCCGACTCTGGCTCAACCATCTTGGTTGCCCATTCTGGATGGTCGCTGCGCTTGGCCGACGCTTTTGTACGATAGGCCAGCTCCATGTGGTGATCCCACTGGTAGATGTACTCGGACTTCTCCTCGGCTGCTCCACCGCTGCTGGCCGACCCCAGCGGCGCCTCAGACGCAGCTGGTTTCGCCATGCTCTTGCGCTTGCCGTGGCCGTTGGTATCGCCCTCCGCTTCCTCGGCATCTGTGTCCTCCGCCTCATCGGGCTCGTTCTCCTCCTCCTCCTCCCCCTCGTCTTCCTCGTCCTCGTCGGCATCCGACTCGTGGCCATCGCGCCCACCAGGTCTCTTTCTAGCTGTTGCTCCCGTCGGAGGCGTCCCGATGCCGAGCGCCACGTACCACTTGGGGGCCTCGTCTCTCGCCATCTTCGTCGTGTAGCTCTTGCAATGCTTGACCGCCGCCGAGAATCTGGCTGTCATCTCTTTAACCCAATCCTGATGCTCCCTAGCATTCTCGAACGTCAGCTTCGAATTGGTGGCGTCGGCAAGCGCGCTGAGAGACGCAATCCACGTCTTTCTCTTGATGTGGAGGGTGGGCTCAACCTATCGGAGAGAACGTCGCACCCCCATGGTATACTCTACAACTCTCAATCCATCTTCCTCCTCCTCCTCCTCCGATTTTTCTCTGGCCTGCCCTACATGTGATCGAAGCCTCTACGTCACCTTCGGTTGTCCATCCCCTCGTCTTCTCCTCGTTCGTTTCCCACCCCTCCACCCGTCCTCCTCATTATCGTCAGTGATTTCCCAATGTTGGTGCGACGTTTTCCCTCGGCACCTCGCCGATATCTTTGAGGAGATCCTTGTACTTCTCGATGGCATCACGCTGCACTCCAGAGTCGGCGTCGTATTTGAAGAAATTGTTTCTCGTGGCGTACTTTCTGATGGCGGCCGTCAATGTTCTCTCCGTCACCATTGGTGCAAGCGAAGTTGTTAAAATGCACAACTCCTTGAGCCAAAATGGTTACGGAAAGATGGGTAGTAATGATTCGGGCGTCGAGGGTCGGGGCCAGCAGGAGAAGGCATCACTATGTCTGGTCGGTTGAAGAGGGCGGGAGGGCACGGGAGGGCGATGAGAACATCTAGAAGACACAACCTGACCTATGCAAAGTTCACCGCGGGCAATTGCCCTCGCGATTCCGACGTCGTAAGTCCGGAGGACAGAAGAGCAGGAAGAGCAGGAGGAGGAGGAGGAGGAGGAGGAGGAGGAGGACCCCTCGAGGATAACAACGATACTTGTGACACTAGCTGGACTGAAAGGCTGAGGCGGCCGAGGATGAGGAATACGAGGCAGCAAGAAAAAGGTGGTTCCTGGTTGTCGGGGAACCTGGGGTCGAAGATGCCGCTCTCGCCGCCCGCTGCCGCCGCGCTGTCCCCGTAGCGCAACGTCTCGGCCTCCCGCCGCGTGTCGGCCTCCCGCCGCGTCTCGTACTCCCGCCGCGCCTGCTCGGGCAGCGCCGCATCGAGCTCCTCGGTAGTAGCGGCCACAGTCGGTGCCTTCATGGGGGCGGCCGCTCCCGCTGCCCCCCCTCGATCCCCCCTCGATGCATATATACATATCTTTTCCGCAGGGATATTCCCCTCAGCCTCGGACTCGTCACTGCTAATCACTTCGACTCCGTGCTCGCTCAACGTGCTGCCCATATCTCTGAATGTAAATGAGTCGCAAACGGTCCAGCTGTCGGCTACCTTCGGAAGGGGCTGGAATCTTAGATTTTTCGTGCCCGACCCCCTGACGATGCGAGCAGGCCACACGAAGGGAAAAAACTGATATGTGTTTTGAAACCTCCCGAAACCTACCCGAAACTTACTTCTCTCTTTTCCACCCCCTTTCGTCGATTCCATCCCTTCGACCTCTGCCATTGCGGCCGATCGTGGGCGTGCACCTCGAGGCCAGCGGGTACTTGAGCCTCGAGGCCAGCGGGTTGGCCGCCCCCTGATGCCTGGACGTTGGCGGCGCTAACCGAGCTGGGGCCCGAAAGGGGGAGCGAGAACATTGAAAGAACAGAAGGGGGTAGGGAGGGGTGGTCCAAATTTTTGACGTAAGTCACCTCGACTCCGCGCACCAATGGGGAACCAAAGTCATGAACAAACGCTTCATATCATACATATATATATATATATGTATATATGTTACGCTCACGCACGTCAGCGTGATAACCAGGCGTGTAAATTCTATTCGTGGCTGTATGTGTGTGCATATTGTGTATGTGAACTTATGAAATGCACGAGTGTAAGTACATCAGAATGTGTTTTTCTTGACATTATATCGAACATCAATAGTATTTCTGGTTTCTTGTTTTTTGTTGTCAAAATGAGAATGTTTCTGGTTTCTATGTGTTTCTCGTTTTTTTTGAGAAAAGGATCCTCTGGGATGTCGGGTTCTGAAGGCATGCGCGCTACAGCTGGCCACGCCTGTGGCCATGCTGGCGCGCTGCGTTTTGCATCGCTGCGAATGACCCGAATCGTGGGAGCTCCACTGACCGCGCCCGTTGTTCAAGAAAAAGATTCGCTCGGATCCTTCGAACTACCGCGGAGAACACCTCGCATCCCAGCCCCGCAAAGTAGTCGGGCGATGTTTTGCCAGCGCGGTGTCTCCACTCTTCGAGTCCAGCGGGGCATGTGGGGGAAGCCGTCAGTTCGCATATCACACGCATCGGGGTTGCAGAGATGCGCTGGCATTCACGGTGTGCTCCTGGATACGGGCTGTCAGCTGCGACAGGCGCGCAGGGGTGCACTGCTCGGACGTGGCTGGTGCATTTGACAAGGTAGATTCGGACCGGCTCGTGGCCAAATTGCGCATTTCGGGGGTAGGCGCGTCGCTTCTGAATGTTATTCGGTCGTGGCTTTCGGAAAGACAGGCGCATGTCAGCGTGGATGGGGTCCTTTCTCATGCTTTCTTGCTGCAGGACATGGTCTTCCAGGGCGCCGTTCTGGGGCCGCCCCTCTGGATCGTAGTTTATGGTGATTCTAAACTCGCCGTTTCTTTGGTCGGTTTTACTGAATGTGTCTTCGCAGACGACCTCAATTGCTCGAAGGGGGTCGACGGCGTGGCCACAAATTCGCCGGTCCTCGCCGCGTGCCACGGGTGCCAGACAACGCTTCACATGTGGGGCGCGGCCAATTAGGCGGCATTTGAGGCGACGAGGGAGAGCGCGCACATTTTGGACGAGTGCAGGCCCCACGGTGACGATTTTAAGATCCTCAGCGTGCTCTTCGACCCCAAGCTTTGCATGCGCCGCGCCGGCCAACAGGGAGAGTTGTTTGCAATCGGTTTGGGCGCCCGACGGCGAGGCTTTTTGCGAGTGCCACCTCGCCCCTGTATGAATGGGGCGGGATTTGCCTATTTTAGGTTTGTTGCACAAAGGCGCCCACGGAAAGGCTCCCCCAGCGCTCTGCGACATTTTCCCGCCGATGCCAACTTCGAGAGCCGCGGCGCATTCACAACAGAGCGCTCCGTGATACAGTCGAGCCGGGCACACATCCCATGATGCATCGATCGATTTTTGGTATGGTGTGTATTTTTACGCGTCCTCCTCAGCATTTCGTCGACTGCCCCTCTGCGAAACAATCCCAGAGAAAACTACGGTCGACGGCGGTTGAGGCCATCAGGTCAGGCCACTGCGCCTGGCGCAATATTTTCAGCGTGTTTTGCCGCGCTCCGCAGCTACTCGGTCTGAGGGTTCGTCGTAGAAGGGGGGGGGGGGTTAGAAGCACCCCTGCTTTTCAGAAAGCGCGGGCCGTGTCTATAGATGTCCGGCTGGCGCCTCCAACGAAGCACCCTTTCTGTGAGAAGCCTTCCCCCCTACGGTTGGACATTCCCCCGTTCCCCCAAACTCGAAGCTGGCACGCGCGGGGAAGATTGCGGTCGAAGTGCAGCTCGATCAACCCACCGCCAACACTGATCATTGTATGCATGCTTATGGAGGACGATCAATGGAGAGGAAGCATGTTGCCAAACCGCTTCAGGTGTTTAAAGCATGCTTTACACATAAAAAGCATGTTTCAAACAGTATTGGAGAATGCGAGTCTATTGCTGTGCTCGTTGTTGTATTGTTATTTGCTCTCGTATGCTGTGCCCAAATCTTTCCCCGAATTTGAAAATATTGGAAGTCGTTTGTGCCCTGACCGCCTGGAAGTGCGTGAGGGGTGCCCCAGATGTTTAAAACATGTGGTAAATCCCATGTGCTTTATCCTGTCGATCCGCGTGAAGGGTGCCACCGAATTTCAGAAATGTTGAGAATCCCGTGGGTTTTCTGACCTTACCCCGCCGATCTGCGTGAGGGGTGCCACCGAATGTCAGAAATGTGGCAAATCCGCTGTGTTTTTGGACCCTGACCTCGCCGATCTGCGTGAGGGGTGCTACCGAATTGCAAAAATGTCGCAAATCCGTAGTGCTTTTGGACCCTGACCCCGCCGATCTGTGTGAGGGGCACCCCCGAATTATAAATGTGGCAAATCTGATTGTGTTTTTGGACCCTGACCCCGCCGATCTGCGTGAGGGGTGCCACCGAATGTCAGAAATGTAGCAAATCCTTATTGCGTTCGGACCCCGACCCCGCCGATCTGCGTGAGGGGTGCCAGCAAATTTCAGAAATGTTGCAAATCCCTTGTGTTTTTAGACCCTGACCCCGCCGATCTGCGTGAGGGGTGCCACCGAATTTCAGAAATGTGGCAAAATCCAATGTGTTGTTGGACCCTGACACCGCCGATTTGCGTGAGGGGTGTGAATGCCTACCACCCCAGCAATTCAGACAACACGCTTAGGGCGTGTCCTTGTTTTGCCGATCGGCGCGGTTCCCCCCCCCCCTAACCCCCCCATGCAGTAGATCTTGCCTGTTTGGGGCGCCTGTTTCGAGCAGGTGGAGCCTCTCCCGCGTAGGACGCACTGTTGCAAACAGCCGCGCTAAGCAGAGGAGGTACAGAGCCAGACACCCCCCTTCTCCCTCCCCTCTTCGCTCAATGTCGAAACGCCGAATAAGAAAACGCTCACGTAGATGGGGTACCGTCTCAGAGCGGTCCAGAGCTCTCTGGAACGGACGCGGCGCCCGCTACATTCACCAGACTCGCCAGCTCCCAGAGACCCCCGATCCATCCTCCCTCGAGTTTGTCCTCGCCCCTCCCTCGCCCTGCGGACATGGGGGCAGTCTCCCTCGACTCGTCTCGACGCCCGCCCGGAGCCCTTCCGTTTCTGTGCACTTCAGCTTTGGCTCCGGCTTCAACCGTGATGCCCTTCGGAGCGCCTTCGCACGGGTGCCTCCCCCGTCCCTCCCTGTGTCGAAGTGCGTTCGCACGCAGCTCCTGTGCATGTCTGCACGCCTACGGGAGGCCATGGCCTCACCAACTTGGTCTTAACAGGCCTGGACAGCTGTCCGATGTGGTGGTTCGTTCGTTCGTGCCTCCCTCCTCCTCCTCCTCGTCCTCCTCCTCCTCCTCCTCCTCCTCCTCCTCCTCCTCCTCCTCCTCCTCCTCCTCCTCCTCCTCCTCCTCCTCCTCCTCCTCCTCCTCCCTCGCCCGCCCACAGCTCATGCTTCGGTTTTGACCCGCCGCGGGGAGCGGAGGGAGACGGCCCAGCCCCGCCTCGCACCGATGGGGAGCCCCGACCGCGCCGGGCCCCCCGCGCCGAGCGGAGTTTCCCCCCCCCCCCCCCCCGAGACTCCTCCGACAGAGTTCGGGTCGGACGCGTGGGGGAGCGGCAGGGGTTTACAGTTAAGTCGGGCGCGTCCATCTACAGGAGGAATATTCAAAAATAGTTTTAAAGGGCGATGTTTATATTATTTCTGACTATTTCATTTTCGGCCAAAATCCGCCTGTAGGGAGACATGCCCGACCTAAGTTTGCAGTCAACGCGCCTAGTAAGGACGCGCGCCTTCATCCAGGGTGCCCTTGTGTCTTTGCCTCTGCGGCCTGTCCGGTGCCGTTTTCACGGGTCGCCCGCCGCCCAAGCAATCTCCCAACTTCGGCTTCTGAGGGTCTTGCGTCCTTCCCACCCGTCCTTGATGCACGTTGTGACCGGAAGGTATTCGGGCCTTCTCGTCGGTTCTGGGCGGTATCCCAGCCTCGGGATGCTCGCCGGCAGCTGCGCCTCGCCGAGAGCGTTCCCCGGGGGTGCCCGAGGCGTCCCGATCGGCTGCCAGAGGCCCGAGCTATGGCCCGAGAGCCAGGCGACGAGGATCACCCACAGGGGAGCTGGGCAAGGGGGGGCGCGAAACCTGCTGCGTGCAGCTGCTTGTCGGTCGGAGGAGGAAGAAAACACGCCATAAGCATAAACTTTTGGCGCTCCGCGGGGATTTCTCAGGTCCGCGCTAAGGCTCCCTAGCGGCGCCTCTGGCGCCGCCCCTGGCGCGCTCCGCGCGCCAGGGAGGGGGGTCCAGCGCAGATCCAAGAAATCCGCGCGTTGATACATCGGCGCCTCCCGCGCCAGGATGCGCCAGGAAGCCCCGACGGGGGAGCGAAAGGGGGGTGGGGACGAGGGAGGGAGGAAGGGGGGAGCAGGTGGATGACGACAGGGGGTCGAGGGAAGGGCGGGGAAGACAAGGAGGGGGGTGGAGGGCAGGGGCGGGAGGACGAGGAGGGGGAGGGCAGGACACGCAGGAAGGAGGGGGGGGAGGGACACGAGGACGAGGTGCAGGATTCAGCCGGGTACGTCCCTCTACAGGAGGAATATTCCAACATAGTCTTACACACACACACACACACACACACACACAGACACAGACACAGACACAGACACACACACACACACACACACACACACACACACACACACACACACATTTGCAGAAATTCCAGAAAATCTCAGGAAATCCAGATATTCCAGAAATTCTTCAGAATAGTGGTCTGGCTCCGGCTAGAATACGGGGACGATGTTTCCAGTATTTTTCGACAATGTTTGAGTATGTTTTGACAGTTGTCGCATTTTTCATCCAAAATCCGCCTGTGGGGGACACGCCCGACCTGAGGGCAGGACGAGGGTGTGGAGGTGGAGGGCGAGGGGGTGTCGAGGGCGGATGAGTCTCGGCACCGCGTGACCCGTCGTGGGCTCCCAATTACAAAGTATCCGGGGCGGGGGGCTGCTGGGCTCGCGGCGGCGCCGCCATGGAGAAGTACAGGCAGTTCGGCGATGGCGGCACCGGGGCGAACCCCTTCGTGCCGACCTGGTCGCACTACAAGGCCTCCCCAGATTCGGCGGCGCGCAAAGGGATCTCCTGTTTTTCCTCGTCTACCCCTGCAGGCAGATTCTGAAGAACAAGTTTAGAATACCAGAGAAATATTCAAAAATCATAAAAGACAAATAGTAAAAGAAATCGTCCCCAGGCTATGGTTCGACTATTGTTTAACATTCCCCCTGCAGAGGGACACCCCCGACTTAATCCTCGTCGTCTGGCTGGCAGACTCACTGCACATGGGCGCCCTGCAGAGGGCCGAGCAGCCGGCAGGCATGCTCGAGTGGCTCGCTCTTCTCATCGGGGGGGGGGTCTTTTGAGAAGCCCTCCCCGGGACCCCTCCAACGGGCATAGCCAGGACCCCAGGTAAGGGGACCCGGTTAGTGGTAGGGCCCTGGAGCCCCTAAATTGGCCAGAATCACTAAACCAGGTCTGCCGTAGCTGGTGTTTTTTCGGGCGACGCAGTCCTGGTTAGTGAAACGGGGCCGGGGGGGCGTCCCCCAGTACACATCACTAAACCAGGTCCCACTAAACCCAGTTCTGCCAACGCCCGACTCGAGAGAAGTCGTCAACCCTTCCTGATGCGGTCGGACCGAGGTATACGATCGAGGTCGGTACGGGGAGGATACCTTAGTTTTCTTCGTGTTTGGCGGATGCTCTTTTGTGCATCCTGGGGGAGGGCACCCTAGTGATCTCATGGTTTGGGTTGTTTTGGCCCGCGAAGGGTCCCATGTTCTTGAAGGATCGGGCGGGGCTAGGACGAGGATAAATCCGTTCCAGAGCGTTCCAGAAGGCTCTCAGAGCGTTCCGAACGCTCTGACAAGGCCGCGGCCCCCGAGACATCCTCCAGAGCCGTCAGATCTCAGAGATTCTCGATTTGTCTTCACCCGAATTCATCATCATCCTGGCTCCGTCTTCAAGGATGCTTCTGCCCCAGGTCCGACCGCAGGATCTCCTTGCCGGGCTCCCCTCCCGAGACGGCCGCCCCCTTAAGTCGACTTAACGTGAAATTGACCTCTCGCCGGAGGAGTCTTTTTTGTGCGGGCCCGATGGGGTCCGCTGGTCGCCGAATGCGAGGCGACAGCAGCGGCTTGCGCGCTTGGTGGTGTCCCCAAAGTCGGAAATGTGAAGACATACGTCACCAGTGGCGGGCTGTTTTTTAATCCAAGGGATTTTGAGGGTCGGGGGCGACGTCGGGGTGGTGTGGTGTATGCTTCCCAACCATCCTGTGGTGTTGGGTCCTCGTTTTGACGAGACGGTCCCCGCGTTCCTCCTTCCCGCCCTCCTCCCCCTCCTCCCTCCTCTGACCACCTCACATCTCGGCACACCCTTCACACGGTTCGTGGCCCCATAGGGAGCTCCACCGAAGGCCCCAGTGGCAAAGTTCGCATGCGGTTCCACTCCCATTTCGGCCCACCCCCCACACGGTTCGTGGCCCCATAGGGAGCTTCACCCAAGGCACCAGTGGCAAAATTCGCATGCAGTTCCACCCCCATTTCGGCGCACCCTTCATACGGTTCGTGGCCCCATAGGGAGCTCCACCGAAGGCCCCAGTGGCAAAGTTCGCATGCAGTTCCACCCCCATTTCGGCGCACCCCTCACACGGTTCGCGGCCCCATATGGAGCTCTATTGCAGGCTTCATTGGTAAAGTTCGCATGCAGTTCCACCCAATTTCGGCACACCCCTCACACGGTTCGTGGCCCCATAGGGAGCTCCACCGAAGACCCCAGTGGCAAAGTTCGCATGCGGCTCCACCCCTATTTCGGTGCACCCCGTCTCCTCACACGGTTCTTGGCCCCAGATGGAGTTTCACCGAAGGCTCCAGTGGCAAAGGTCACATGCAGTTCCACCCCCGTTTCGGCGCATCCCTCACACGGTTCGTGGCCCCATGGGGAGCTCCACCGAAGGCCCCCGTGGCATAATTCGCATGCAGTTCCACCCCGATTTAAGCGCACCCCTCACACGGTTCGTGGCCCCATAGGTAGTTATGTTGCAGACCTCAATGGCAAAATTCGCATGCAGTTCCACTCCCACACACGGTTCGTGGCCCCATAGGGAGCTCCACCGAAGGCCCCCATGGCAAAGTTCGCATGCAGTTCCACCCCCAATTTCGGCGCACCCCTCACACGGTTCGTGGCCCCATAGGGAGCTCCACCGAAGGCCCGTGGCAAAGTTCGCATGCAGTTCCACCCCCATTTCGGCGCATCCTTCACAAGGTTCGTGGCCCCATAGGGAGCTCCACCGAGGACGGTATTTACCATTGCGTTACTCACAACTGCATATGGTTGGGTGTTTCGCCAGGGTAATTGTTTTTCCGCGTCATGGGGGAACACCGAATGATATACACCAGGATCCCCTAAGCACCATGATCCTTTTTCCTGTGCACATTTCAGTGCAGTGTTGGAAAAAGCGTCGGTGTATAGAGTTTTGTTCCCTACAAGAGCCCCCCCTTGGCCGCGCGCTAAAGGTCCCTCTCGCCCAGGGTCGCTCTATTCGTGTAGCCAGTGAAGCCACACCTCCCCGCACGCGCCCTTCCCTCCAGATCCTGGGCGACGTGCTCCGCCGCCACGGGGGTTACAGTGGAAACCCGTGCCAAGAAACACCCTGCTTGCCTCCAGGGTGCCCTGGGTTTCGTGGGTTTCGATGGTTCTGCCATGGAAAGCTTGCCAAAGAACTGTGGACGTCCTGGGGTCTCAGGGTTGGGTTTCTTGTGGAAGGCTTCTTGCGGTCGAGCTCCTACTGCATGACGGCCATCGTGAGGGAGAGGGGGTGAGGAGGGTGGCGGGCCCTGGAGGTCTCCGTGCCGAGCGGTGGCGAAGCGTCCTGGCTTGCTGATATGCCCACCGAAGGATGTTCTGAGGACCTTTTTGTTCTAGGCTTCCCAGATGGGGTCCGAGTAGACGGGGTCGGAACATCGCTTCGAACCACCGATGTATCGCCGATGCGGCTCGATGCGGAGCTCGATTTTCCCCACGCCGACGTTGCCGATGCGTCGCCGACGTCGGCGATGCATCACCGATGCATCGCCGAAACATCGGCGATGCCCCGCGATCCTCCGACCCCATCTACTCGGACCCCATCCAGGAGGCCTCTATTAGGGCTTGCACGAAGTGTTTTCTTTGAGCAGTTCTGGCCGAGATTGCTTTGTTTTAACACGTCGGGTCTATGTTCTGAGAGCACGGCTCTTGTTCATAGAACATTATTTTGCTCTGGGAACACATCGCGGTAGGCCTACATGAATGCTGGGACGGCCGACCTATTGTGCTCAACTGTGAGGCCCCTCTCGGGTTTCCTGGGGCCCTCCAGAGCGAGGACGCGAACTCGATGGCGCGAAGTCATTTCACGGTGTTTGCGGTTTCCGCGGTTCGGCTTCGATGTTTCTCGTCTTCCTCCTCTCCCCTCTGGGGGCGGCGCGAGAGAGCGCGAAGTCGTTTGCGCTTCGCGCAGCGCGGAGCGGGAAGTCGGGCGCCCGTGTTTCTGTCGGCCTCCTCTCGGATTCCCCGGGGCCCTCCAGTAGGGCGACGAGATTTGCACACATACACTTGGTCCCTGGCCACGCCCATTCCGAACCCGGCAGCGGTGTTTACGCCACGTCCGCCTGGCTTGGCCAGGAGGGCGTACGCGCAGCTGCCGGGTTCAGGATGGGCCTGGCCAGGGCGCAGTGGATGTGTGTAGACCTCGTCGCCCTATCCGGAGGCCCCGCGACCGCCGAGAGAGGGCCCAGAGTGAAGAGCTGGTCCTGGGAGCAGACCCGGGTTCCAGGGACCGTCTCCCTGAGGACCCCTTCTCTGCTCCGTACCATGGCAGGAACGATTTGCGGGCGTCGGGTCGGACGGGGGGCGGGGTCAGCACACGCTGGTCGTTGAAAGTGAGCATTTGGGGATTCTCAGATCCCAGTCTACTTCATGCGCTTTCCTACTTTTAGAATCGGACGAGGGGGGAGGTCAGTAAAGGGGGGTTCGGGACTCAACGGACGGGGGTCAGTGCAAACGGGGTTCAGTCAGAGCGCTGGATCTTGCAGGGCCCTGCAGAGCCAGGGGTACATTTGCCTGGGCTTGAGTGCAAGATCCCGTAGGATCCTGCAGGATCCTGCAGGACTTTGCAGGATCCTGCAAGGCCCGACGGACCCTGCTTTGCACTGACCGGGGGCAGTGCGTCCCCGAGGGGTTGGCGAATCAGCTCCCGTAGGTGGCTGGCTTTCCAGGCTCGCCTCCCAGCGCCAGAGGCGCGAAGGTGTCAAGGAGAGCGCCGGCGGCGGAGCCGAAGCCGGCCGCACGCAGCGGATCCCGTGGCCCGCAGGTAGAAGAAGAGGTAGAGGCAGGAAAGAACAGATTAGAAGGGAGGAGGGAAGATAAGCAAGAAAGGAAGTACATTTCCCATCTGTGCACCGTCGTGAAGCTGCTGTGTACACAACTCAAGCATGCACCTTGCCCGGCCCGGTCGTCCGACCCGATGGAAGGCCGCCCGATGTTGGCCGCGCGCTCGTTCGCAGTGTATCCGGCGGCCCCGGGGCGGCGGGGCAGAAGCAGAGAGGCCAGCAGCCAGAGCTCGGCATTGACCAGCACATGGCGCCCCGGGATCGTCGAAGGACGCTGCGGGACGAGGCATTGGGCCCCCGGGAAGGGGTCCAGACCTCTTGGGAGCCTCGCCGAGGAGAAGGCAGGACGCCGGATGTCTGGGCGCCTGCTCCGCCTTCCTCCCTCCTCCCACGTGCTGCTTTCCCCTCCTCCTTCTCCTCCTCCTCCTCCTCCTCCTCCTCCTCCTCCTCCTCCTCCCTCTCTCCTCCTCCTCCTCCTCCTCCTCCTCCTCCTCCTCCTCCTCCTCCTCCTCCTCCTCCTCCTCCTCCTCCTCCTCCTCCTCCTCCTCTCTCCTCCTCCTCCTCCTCCTCCTCCTCCTCCTCCTCCTCCTCCCTCCTCTCCTCCTCTCCACCTCCTCCTCCTCCTCCTCCTCCTCCTCCTCCTCCTCCTCCTCCTCCTCCTCCTCCTCTCCTCCTCCTCCTCCTCCTCCTCCTCCTCCTCCTCCCTCCTACTCCTCCTCCTCCTCCTCCTCCTCCTCCTCCTCCTCCTCCTCCTCCTCCTCCTCCGCCCGCTATCCACCTTGCACTCCTGCTCGCCCCGTCTCGTGTCCTGCTCTCCGCGCGCAGTTGTCGCTGCCGCTGCGGGTGCTGAAGGTGCTCGTGATGCTGCCCGTGTCCGCGGCGCGACTGGCACTCTTCGTGGTGGCTGTCATATGGTGCGCTCCTCGGATCTGGGTCGGCGGTCCTCCGTCTTCCGCAGGACGACAAGAATCGAAGCTTGATATACTTCCTATCCTGACACGTCGATTAAGGAATTGGCGGTTTTCGGTTCGCGAGAGGGCGTCGCCGCCGTCATTTTTGCGGGTCCAGGTCCGTCGGTTTCGGTCCCAGGCCGTTTTCACTAAAGGGAGGTTTATGAAAGGGAGGTTTGTCCACCGCCGACTCGGATCTGGATCGGCGGTCCTCCGTCTTTCGCAGGACGACAGGAAGCTACAGTGGAGACCCATGCCAAGAAACACCCTGCTGGCCTCCAGGGTGCCCTGGGTTTCTGTGATTTCGATGGTTCTGCGAGGGAAAGCGTGCCGTGCCCACACAGAAGTCGATGGACGTCCTGGGGTCTCAGGGTTGGGTTTCCTGTGGAAGGTTTCTTTTGGACTGGCCTCCACCGTATGCAGAAACGTCAGATGTCTGCGGCCGGCGCTGATCCCCCTCTCTTCTGGGCGCGCGAAGTGCGCCGGGTGCGGCGCCAGAGAACCTCGCCGGGGTGCTTCCGCTCCGGCCACAGAGGCTTTCCAGAGGCTGTCAAGAAGCATCTCCGAGGCTCTCAAGAAGCTCGTCAAAGGCACCAACCTGGGAATCACCCCTCCAGTCGGGGAAGAACCCAGCCAACTTCTCACCGTCGAGAAAGGGGATGCTCGTCCAACCAGGAAATAGCCCGGCGAACCAGGGGAAGAGCAGTCGATCGTCCCTGTGGAGGGGGGGGGGGCCGTGCAATGGGCAATTTGCAGAGGCCGCCCATGCAGATGGCCCCGGGACAGGGCCCCGGGAACGCACCAGGGGTTGGCCCGTTGCAGTGGCAGTTTGCAGAGCACACCTATGCCAAGGGGCGCGGACCTCCGACGCGGGCGGCGGGGGGTCGTCTGGCGGACGGGCCCCTGCGATTGGCACTTAGCACAGGCCGCCCACACAGATGGCCCCGAGACAGGGTCCCAGGAACTCCTCCTCCTCCTCCTCCTCCTCGTCGTCCTCCTCCTCCTCCTCCTCCTCCTCCTCCTCCTCCTCCTCCTCCTCCTCCCTCCTCCTCCTCGCAACGGGGGTTGGCCCGTTCCAGTAGTCATTTGCACGGCGCCCATGCAAATGACCCCCGAGGTCCAGTCACGCTCCAACGCGCAGATGTGGACCCCCGTTTTGGGGGGGACTAGGGGGGGGAAGAATCCACACGCCGAGAGACAGTTCGATCCGATTCGTTATCGGGTTGGGTTCGCTTGATCCCGTTTGATTCCGATACTCCGACGATCCAGTGCGGCGCGATGTTTGTATAGCGGTGATGTATCTTGGCGCGGCCGATCATATTCGTTTTCGATTATGTGCCGACGCAGGTCGGTCTGACACGATCTTCCGATTCGATATTTGCAGGTAATTTCCTTTGGTTTTCTCCCTCGGTTGACGTGTTCCCCCTCGCCTCCGCCCGCACCCACTCGTTGAGCCGAGAGCGAGCGGCGTCCTCGATGCGCGACCGATATGTTCCCGGCGCGCGAGGAGGCGAGTAAGGAGGGATAATGGATGGAAGGGGGGTGAGGAGGAGGAGGAGGCGGAGGAGGAGGAAGAGGAGGAGGCGGAGGAGGAGGGAGGAAGAGGGAGCTGAGGAGGGAGTGGAGGAGAGAGGAGGGAGTGTAGGAGGGAGAAGGGAGATTGGGAAGGAGGGAGGAAGGGGTGGATGTATGAGGCGGAGGAGGAGGACCAGCAGCAGCAGGATCAAGGAGGGCTATGGAGGAGTAGGATCTACAGACAAGTATGAGGGGAAATGAGGGAGGATAGATAAGCAAGGAGGATGCGGAATGGGTACCAGGAAAGATGAGGAATCGAATGAGGCAGCAATGACGGAGGAGCAAGTACAGATAACCGAGGTGGGAAGAGCTCTAAAGGATTGACAAGTAAAGAAGGATGGGTTGGATGACCCATCCTCCCATTCAAGTTTCCATTTGGTCTGCTTAGGTCGTTTTGCATATGTTGCTGCGCATGGTGCCACGTTTGTATGGCAGGTTCACGCAGTGCTGGGTTGGATGACCCATCCTCCCATTCAAGTTTCCATTTGGTCTGCTCCGCTGCGACCCCAGCGGGGGCGTTCTATGTTGAACACCGTCAGTCTCGTAGGCTAGGTTGGTATCATCGATATGCGCTATCAGGCAGCCGCGATCGCCTAGTGTTGAAAGATCCACGCGATGTCAGAAACCAACCAGCAAGGCGACCTCCGTTGCTTAGCAGATTGCATCTTCAGACGTTTTACTCACAGTTGTATGATTCTCTCCTACCCCTCGTCGCGCGCGCCTCGTGCTGAGGCTGGCCATTGTGGAGCTCGTGTGCTCTCTTATCCCGATTGGTATTATCAGGCTTCGGGCGGGGGGGGGGGCACGCACGACGCATTTACATGAGACGTGGTGGCGACGCCAGAACTTGGGGAGGAGGAGAAGGAAGAGGAAGAGCAGGAGGGAGGGGAGCATAGCCAACCCGCACAGTAGGGATGGGCAACCTGCCCAAGGATGCCCTTGCATCCTGGCCTCCCAGGTCCCTCCTTGGCTAACTCCGTCGGCCGCGCCCCGCTCGGAGAGCTTCGAAATGGGCGTCCGAGGCCCTTGCTCAGGGACGCGCAAACACGGATTAGCGATCCATGGATTTGGCGCGCGGTCGCCAAATCCGCGTCCGGAGGTGACGTGCTGAGCGGCAGCGTTTTTCGGCGAACGCCTTAATGCAACGTATCCAAGGTATCCAAAGATTCCAGAATTGCAACATATTGTATTGTGTTACATTATTATGTCTCCCCCCCTAAACCCCCCCTGGGAGCTGCGCCACACCGCCGGACCAAAGTGACGCCCCCCTTCTGGGGCCCCTACGAAAACCTACGAAAAAGCAACAAATTCGGCCTCTTGGGCCTCTTGGGGCTCCAACAGGGCCTCAAGATGGCCCAAGACGGCCCAAGATGGCCCAAGATGGCCCAAGGGGGCCCCAAGAGCGCCCACAAGAGCGCCTCCAGAGGCCAAAATCATTGATTTGCCTGTTGTTTTCAACAGATTTTAGCGTTCTCGCCTTCTCCGCCTCTCAGAAGCCCATGACGGCCCAAGCAGCCTCCAAGATGGCCCCAAGAAGGCCCAAGAAACACCCAAGGGGGCCCCAAGACGGCCCCAGAGGGCCCCAAGCAGCCCAAAGAGGCCCCAGAGACGGTCCAAGAGGCCCCCAAGACGGCCCAAGAGGACCTCAAGAGGGACCCAAGGCGGCCCCGAGAGGTCCGCGGAACGGCTTCCGAACGGGTCCGACGGCGCAAGAGCGCCCCACGACGGTTCAAGACGCCCCCAAGAAGGCCCAAGAAGCCCCAGAGGCCCCAAGGAGTCCCGAAAGAGGCCCCTAAGAAGCTTCCACGAGGCCTCCACAAGGGCCACAAAACGGCCCCACAAACTACGCAGAGGCCAGCGTACTTGTATACGAACGGCAAGTTCTTGCGGCGCTTCGGGGCAGGAAGGACGGCACGGTCCCTCAACGACCTCCGTGCGCGTGCGTTGACGAGAAGGGCAAACGAGCCAACGCCCAAAATGCGCGCCTCCCCTTCCCATGCAATTTTTGCATGGGTGCGGTCGCCAAGGGCTCGGGCGATAGCGCGGGCACAGCACGCGGCGAATTCGCCGATGCAAGGCGATAGCTGGGGAAAGGCGACGAAGGCGTCGAGGGCGATGCGAGGCAGGTTGTTCGTCGGAGGAGGAGGATGCAAGGAGGCGACGGCCACCCGACTGCGCAATACGGCTTCTGGCAGGCGGGCATAGCAAGGCTGCGTTGCCGCGACTGGAAAGTGTCACAGTGTTTCGCGGGAGCCTCTCAGAGCACCGCGCGCACTGTAGCGGCGGCTCTCCCCGGCACGGAGCGCAGGTCCACTCCGGCATGGTCCAGACTCGGTACTTCGATGTCTTCGGCCGCGGAGCTAAGCCACATTTCGAGCAGGGCGGAAATTCACACGAATCGCACAAACATTCAAAGGAGTGCGTCAAACGTGCCGGAGGCTTTGCTCCGCACCCGCCCTTGCAAGGGGGCATCAATTTCTGGTCGAGACACTCCGTGCACGCGGCGTCTTTGACGGCCTTGTGTATCTTAAAAAACGCCGAATCGAACTGCTCCGCAGACTTCTCCTGCTTGCACATGCGACACTGGAAGAGGCGGTCCGCCGACAAAACGTTAAAATGCTGCTTCTCCGGGGTGCATGCCACGCAAACGGCGAGGTCCAGCGCCCCTCTGCCTTTCAAGTCATTCACCTCGCTGCGTCGGAAATTCGCCAAGCATTTGGGCTCCTTGCAGCGATTGCAGACGAGCGCGTCTCTGGCTTTCGCGGCGAATGGCGCTGCAGCCGCGGCAAGGTCCGCTTCTGCACGCAGAGGGCGCACCTCCTCCAGGCCCCCTGGCTCAGCACCGCCATGGCGTGCTCCACGGGGTCGCTCGTTCTCATGCCACTGTCTGGGAAATTGCCCGCTCTCTTCCGCTGGTGGCACTCGGCGCAATTGAACGTGGCGTCCACCAACTTCTTCGGCGACCTGGGCGCCGCTTCCTTCTCTGCCTTGGCCCAACCGGCTTTTGCCTGCTCCGTCGTCATCTCCCCAGCTGTAAGGGAGTGCAGGAGCCATGGGCCCGTATGATGCCCCTGGCGGAACAGCATGGGGAGAGAAAAAAGGCTGGGTGATAATCAGGTCGTCCGCCCTCCTGGTGCGCCTGATGGCCACGTAGCCCGTGGGGGCCATGGACGATCGTGGCGTCGTCCGCGCGCCCAGGAGGTCGATGATGGCCTGTAGCAGAGTCGCGCCGGTGACGCAGTGGGCCGCGGCGGCAAAGCGCGGGACCAGAGGGGACCCCGTGCGCTTCACCATGGCCTTGAAGCCGGGACTGCGATCCCACGACACCTCCTTCAGCTTCACCGGGAAAACGCCCGCGGGCAGATTCCCAATGCGGGGCGCCGTGCTGCCGGGGATTTTCACCATGATCGCGTCAGGCACGTGCTGCAGAACCAGTTCCGGCTCGGACCTGTGCTCGTTCACCAACTTCGAGCCGTCCGGATGGAGGACCCAGCCAGTCACGGTCCCCCAGGAGTGTTTGCAGGCTCCCGCCACAGCATTCTCCGTGGTCGTGAACCGCATGAGCATCCCTTCAAAAATCGGCAGCACGCCCGGGACTCCGCCTGTCTTGTTCTCCGGGTACATCAGCCAATTATGCGGGGCGTGGGCGAGCGAAACTTTCGACCTGCATGCGTCGCCCCGAGTGAGAGGGACGTCGCGCGCCACCACCCACAGGAGCTGCTTCCCTGCATTCGCTGCCGCATTCGCCGCTCGGAGAGTCAAAATCCTGCTCTTCGGGGCGTTGTGCGGGTGCACGAACAGCGCGTCGGCGAACGCCGCGCTCACTTCCCGCTGTCTAGCGTCGCTCTGAGAGGCGACGCGGCAGCGCCGACGGCGTTCCGCGCTGCAGTCAGCGCGCTCAAGAGATCGCATGTCCTGCCAGGGCCGACCCTCTCCGAACATCCGCGGCCACTCAGCTGACCAGAGCGCGCGGCACTTCGCCTTCCCACAGCCGAGGTGCCCCGTCGAGGCCTCGGCGCTGCCGGAGCTTGCGGGCATCCAGGAGCCGGGCGCATCAGTGGGGAAACCGTGGACGAAGTCGTACATCCTGTCCGACAAGTCCCCCGCGCGCGCTTCTGCGAGGAAGCTCCTCCACCACGGGTCTGAGCAGCGGTGCGACTGGGTCAGGGCGTAGCGGTGAGTCGCCGAGTGCGGCAAGCCCCCTGTCCAGAACATCTCGAGTATGCGGCCGACGTTGGCGGGCCGCTTCATGAAAGGATTAGCAGCAATACTGAGAGTCCGCACGGGCGGGATCTGCCACAGATCTCCGAGAAGTACCAGGTTCAGACCGCCGAACATGGCGAACTGTTTCGGGGCGCGTGCGTCCACGGCCCACGGGTTCCCCTTATCCCTCGTCGAGTCCTTCACCTGCCTGTGCACGGCGCCCAGCAGCTCCACGGACACGTTCTCCACCTCGTCGATGATAAGCCAACGCATGTGCTGGATTTTCGCGTGCAACAAGTTCTCCGACAGCTCGGGGCCCTTCTTCCCGCCAGACTGGACCCCCGTGATAAGATCGATCCCGAGCTTGCTGAAGTTGTGGATAGTCTTCCCCCCGAAGTTGCTTGCCATGGATTTTCATTGGGGCGGTCTTCATGAAGTGCACCTCGTGCCCCCATCCCATGCACGTGGGAAACAGACCCACGTCCTCGTCGCACAGCCACCGGATTACTTCGGACTTCCCTGTTCCTGGCAGGCCGAGAACGAACAGCCTGGAGCATGGCGATCCGCGCGGCTGGTCCTGCTCGCTAGCCTCCTGAACGCACCTGTCGGCGACGGCATTCAGGATGCTCATCAGCTGCGGGTCGGGGATGATCTGGTGCGTCTGAAGTCCTGCGATCGGCCATGGATGAGCATGGGCAGGCCTCTCTGCACATTCCTCACATACCTTCAACTGCTTCGCGACCCTTCCAGCTACGCATCACATGTGCCATGCCACCTGCCTGACATGCTCAGACGCGTACATGTGTACGTACTATACATCTGTTTACACGCATGCGAATGTAAACGCATCCATACATCATCTTCTACGGAGAACGCATGGCGCGAACGAGGCACTGCAGGCGGGCGCTGCGACATCCACGACAGTGTGCACACAAGGCCAATCCAGGGATAAACATGGGCAGGCCTCTCTGCACATTCCTCACATACCTTCGACTGCTTCACGACTCTTTCAGCTACGCACCACATGTGCCATGCCACCTGCCTGACATGCTCAGACGCGCACATGTGCACATACTGTACATATGTTTACACGCATGCGAATGCAAACGCATACGTGCATCTTCTACGGAGAACGCACGGCGCGAACGAGGCACTGCACGCGGGCGCTGCGACATCCACGAAAGTGTGCACACAAGGCCAATCATCAACCCTTCCACATACTCAGATCTACTCACCACTCACGACATGACGCTACGCAGTAGATGCTCCGCGCAAGCTCGGTTGGAGACACGCCTGCTCGGAAGCCGAAGACTTTTCATATTCGACAACTTCTTTCAGAGCGAAACGGAGCGGGCGCTCCGACCAAACTGCGTGCATGTCATATTTGGGGTAGCCCCACGTCTCCCGATTGCCCCCCCCCCTGTCCTCTCCGCCAGCTCTGGATGTTGCTTGTCAGGTCAGCGTCGCTAGGGCACAGCTTGCCCCGCTTCTTCAGGCGCGCCGATTTCCGCAACGACTCCCCGGCATCTCCGCGAGCACCCGCTGGCAGCGAACTGCAATGCCGAAGAGCAGACTGACGCTGTGGCACGCGCCACGTGGGCTCGGTGTTCGGCGGGCCCCAGAAGGACATGCTCTGCTCCAGCGTTTTCTGCACCGAGCGGCAGCGTTTTTCGGCGAACGCCTTACTGCAACGTATCCAATTTATCCAATGATTGCAGACTTGCCACATGTTGTATTGCGTTACATTATCATGTCCCCCCCCCAACCCCCCCTGGGAGCTGCGCCACGCCGCCGGGCCAAAGTTGCCCCCCCCCCTCCCGGGGCTCAGAAACCTACCAAACTAGTAGAAAATCGATGATTTCGACCTCTTGGGCTTCTTGGGGGGCCGAGAGGGCGCCAAGACGGTTCGAGATGTGCTCTGTGCGGGCCAAAACGGCCCCGAGACGGTCCGAGATGGTTCCAAGAGGGCCCAGAAAACCCAAATGACGGCCCAAGAGGGCCCCAGGAGCGCCCACAACTGCGCCTCCAGAGGTCAAAATCATTGATTTCCCTTGGTTTGGGTACTATTTTAGCGCTCTCGCCTTTGCGGCCCAAGCAGCTTCGCAAATCGGCCCAGCACAACCCAAGAAGCCCCCAAGAGGGCCCCGAGACGGCCCAACAAAACCCCAAGACGGCCCAAAGAGGCCCCCAAGACGGTCCAAGAGGCCGCGAAGACGGCCCAAGAGGACTCCAAGACGGCTCCAAGGCGGCCGCGAGAGGCCCCCAAGACGACCTCCGAAGGAGCGAAACGGCGCAAAAGCGCCCCAACACGGCCAATGACGCCCCCAAGAGGCCCCAAGAGGCCCCCAAGAGGACCCCAAGGGGCCCCAGAAAGCTTCCAAGAGGCCTCCAAGATGTCTTCAAAAAGCCCCCCAACGGCTGCAAATAAGCCCCCCGAAGGCCACACAGCGACTGGAGTGTAATGCCATTTTTCCAACCTGGGCGAACTGCGGCGCAGCGCCAGCCAGGTGGAAGTTGGTCACAGCGGCGCCCATAATTAGAGCCGGCGCTGGAAGGAAATATGGGGAGGGAGTTTGACGAGGAGGGGGGGGGGAGAGGCCCCAAAGAAGTCCCCAAGAGGCCCAAGGAAGCTCCCAGGAGGCCTCCAGGAGGCCCCCAAGAGGCCGCCAAGAGGCTCCGCGACGACGCGACTGCACGCGCTCCGGACGCGCACCCCGCGAAGCGAGAGGAATCCATGCATCGGGGGAGGCGCCCTCCCCAAGATGCGGCTGGCGCCGCCCCGCTCGGCGGCGGACATCCACGATTCTTCGTGGAAACGCGACCCGTCGCAAATCCACGCCCCCTTGGATCCATGTTTGCGATCGCCTGAACTTGGGTGTCCTCCCCGAACCGACCTCGATCTTACATCTCGGTCCGACTGAAGTCGGTGTCCTCCGATCGGGAGCCCCCGAAAGAGGAGGAGGAGGAGGAGGAGGAGGAGGAGGAGGAGGAGGGGGAGGAGTCGCGTCGGCCGCTGGCGGCTGGCTGGGCCTCGCGAGGCCTTTGGCCCCCCCCCGTGAGAGGGCGCAGCAGTCGCGCTGCGCCCCCGAGCGGCAAAGACCGCAGCCTCCGCGGCACAAGCCGCCGAGGCATCGGCCGCGTCGCGGGAGCGACATCGGGCCGCGCTCGAAAGGCTCAAAAGGAGGAGGAGGAGGAGGCATCCTCCCCGCGCATCCTCTGTGCTGCGGGCCGACGGCAGGCCAGGCCGCCCGAGAGGGATCGCGAAGAAGCGGGCCGCGGCCGGCGGCGCGCGCTCCACTTTTTCCCCCCCGGGGGCGGCGGCGCAAGGTCGCGCAGAGACGACGCCGCGCGCCGCGGGATGCGCGGTGGTCGCGCTGTCAGGCGGCCTGACTGCGACGCAGGAGCCAACGACCGAACGAGGTCCGATCAGACGCAATTCGGCGTCTACGCCGCCTCCGAACGAGGTTCGAGAGCGAGTGGCCGGACAGGGCCCGATCAGACGCGACCCGACGTCCACGCCACATCGCACGCCGCGTCGAAGAAGAAACAACGCCGTAGACATAAACTTTTGGCGTTCCGCGCGGATTTGGGGGATCCGCGCAGGGCCCACCCCCCCGGCGGCGCCTCTGGGGGGCACGCTCCGCGCGCCAGGGGGGGGGGCCCAGCGCAGATCCAATAAATCCGGGCTGCGCGCCGAAAGTTTATGTTTATGGCGTTACTTCTGTATGTCGAGAAGAAATGGATAAGCATGGCGATGAACACGCAGTTCGACCAGGGGTGGCGAGGGCGCCAACAGCGCAGCGGCTGAGGCCGGATTTTTTGTTCTGACGGGGCGACGCAGGTTGAGTGCGGACGTCGCGGGCGCGGGCGTGCAAAACGAGGTCTCTCTATTCGCGAAGCGATTCGCCTACCCGAATCATGCGCGTTAGACGCCGCAGCGTCCGCGCTGCAAGGGTCGCCCCCGCCGCAGACTGCGCGAACTAGGCACGGCGTGGCGGGGCCCGCCTTCTGCGCGGTCTGCGGCCGACGGTCAAAGTCCCCGGGGCGATCTCGCGTCGCCTCCTTGGCGCATTCGGCCATGTCGAACGCGAAACCGCGAGATATGTTTTGTTCAATTGGCTTTGGCAATTGAGGCTTTCGTTTGCGCGTGGCGCGTGTGCCCAAGCCAGGGGGCACCGATGGCCATCGCTGTCTGCTCGCTGCAGGGTCCGAGCTTTCGGGGCGCCATTTGTTTTAGGCGCTACTTTTCGACGGCCATGTTTATGTGTCCGTCGCACGCGCCGCCTCTTCCTGCGCCACTGTTTTATGAGTGGCGCGGCGTGGCCCGAGGACGACGCGGCGCGTTTCGGCGAGCATTCGGCCTGCGATTCCTAGCGCGCTTTGTTTCGGGGCCGTCTGCGGGCTGCGAGCGCGCGCAAGCGCGCCGCCCACTCTTAGCTCGTGGCCGGCAACGGCATCGCATTCGCGTGCGCTCCCGCGCCCGAGCTTCTGCTTCCATAGTGAACGTTACTGTGCATTTCTAGTTTTTTGTTTTTTGTGTTTTTTTTGTTGTGTTTGTTGGGATGGTCGCGGGTTGCGTGCCATCGTCTCTTGGCCGATCTGCCACGTAGATAAAATTCTCCACGCTTCGCGCATCCCCACCAGCCCATCTCAGAACAGCAGCTCTTGCGAAGCATGCCGACAGGCGCGTTTCCGCCTGCCCCCGCATATCTCCCCTGTTCCCCCTTCCCCCCGCCCCCTTGCACATCCTCCTTGTGGTGGGAGCGGGAGAAGGACGAGGCGGAGGAGGAGGGAGAGAAAGCGCTCCTCGTGGTTTGAGTCGTTTGGGGTTTCTCGTTTTGGTGCGAGTCGTTCGGGCCCGTCTTCCTGGTGTGAGTCGTTCGGGCTCTTCGTGGTGTGAGTCGTTCGGGCTCTTCGTCCTGGTGTGAGTCGTTCGGGCTTCTCGTGGCGTGAGTTGTTCGGGCCCCTCGTCCTGGCGTGAGTCGTTCGGGCCCCTCCTCCTGGTGTGACTCGTTCGGGCTCCTCGTGGTGTGAGTCGTTCGGGGCCCTCGTCGTGGTGTGAGTCGTTCGGGCTCCTCGTGGTGTGAGTCGTTCGGGCGCCTCGTCCTGGTGTGAGTCGTTCGGGCCCCTCCTTCTGGTGTGAGTCGTTCGGGCTCTTCGTGGTGTGAGTCGTTCGGGCCCCTCGTCCTGGTGCGAGTCGTTCGGGCTCCTCGTGGCCTGAGGCGTTCGGGCACCTCGTACCCTTTTGGGGCGTCTTGGGAGCCTCTTGGCGGCCCCAAGGGCTTCTAGGAGCGTCTTGGGTGCCTTGGGGGAGCCTC